ACGCTCAGGATGGATTTGCCGCTCGCCTCCTCCGAGTACATGAACCGCATGACGCACTCGTTGTCAGTCTTGTAGACGCACAGGACGGCCTCCGGCTTGTCGGTCTCTGAGGACGGATATAAAATAAAGATATAATAAATAAAACCTGAATCACCGGCATTAACAGCAGAAATACACAATACAAGATGTTCCCGAATACGGCATTTCTCTTCTGCGCATTCATCGGACACAGCGATCTTCTGAGCCGCAAAGTCCCCTGTGTGATGTCATCAATGTCTCCACACAGATTGTGACACCATCAAAGTTCACCACGGGAGATAAAAAACATGCAATTTGTACCATATCGTCCTCATGAAAGGTGGAGAACAGTCAAAAACCTAATTGCTGACAGGATGGGACGTGCTACATAGTCCCTGAAGATTGTGACACCATCAAAGTTCACCCCGGGAGACAAACCCAAGCAATTTGTACCATATCGTCCTCATGAACGGTGGAGAAAAGTAAAAGTCTGGTCAAAAACCTAATTGCTGACAGGACGGGACGTGCTACATAGTCCCTGAAGATTGTGACACCATCAAAGTTCACCCCGGGAGACAAACCCAAGCAATTTGTACCATATTGTCCTCATGAACGGTGGAGAAAAGTAAAAGTCTGGTCAAAAACCTAATTGCTGACAGGACGGGACGTGCTACATAGTCCCTGAAGATTGTGACACCATCAAAGTTCACCCCGGGAGACAAACCCAAGCAATTTGTACCATATCGTCCTCATGAACGGTGGAGAAAAGTAAAAGTCTGGTCAAAAACCTAATTGCTGACAGGACGGGACGTGCTACATAGTCCCTGAAGATTGTGACACCATCAAAGTTCACCCCGGGAGACAAACCCAAGCAATTTGTACCATATCGTCCTCATGAACGGTGGAGAAAAGTAAAAGTCTGGTCAAAAACCTAATTGATGGTGTCACAATCTTCAGGGACTATGTAGCACGTCCCCTCCTGTCAGCAATTAGGTTTTTGACCAGACTTTTACTTTTCTCCACCGTTCATGAGGACGATATGGTACAAATTGCTTGGGTTTGTCTCCCGGAGTGAACTTTGATGGTGTCACAATCTTCAGGGACTATGTAGAACGTCCCGTCCTGTCAGCAATTAGGTTTTTGACCAGACTTTTACTTTTCTCCACCGTTCATGAGGACGATATGGTACAAATTGCTTGGGTTTGTCTCCCGGGGTGAACTTTGATGGTGTCACAATCTTCAGGGACTATGTAGCACGTCCCGTCCTGTCAGCAAAGTTCACCCCGGGAGACAAACCCAAGCAATTTGTACCATATCGTCCTCATGAACGGTGGAGAAAAGTAAAAGTCTGGTCAAAAACCTAATTGCTGACAGGACGGGACGTGCTACATAGTCCCTGAAGCTTTGGGCTGTGTGTAGTACACCCAGCATTCACAACTGGTTAAAGTAAAAGACGAAGCTTTAAACCGGCTCCCACCCCCATTCTAAGCCTACTCTATCTACCTTGCAAAGGAAAGATGTCTCCTTACCCCTCCTGAGGATGCTCCAGTCCTGTCATGTGATCTCCCCAATGGCTGGCTTCAGGGAAGAGAGCAGTGACAATGGCTGCAGACGCTAGGCGGTGATTTCATCCATACTATGGGGCATCCATTGTCTGCTGTCCCTCCTCTCCCCTGAAGCCAGCACTGGGACCTGGTCAGGTGACCAACCTGGAGTGTCCTTCGATTAGGTAGGTATAGACAACATGGGCTTAGAATGGGGGATGGGAGAAGGATTAGGCTTAGTTCGGTTTTAACCGGCTTTTAATTTCTTTACTTTAACTGGTTGTGGACAATGGACATGCTACACACACCCAGAAAGCTTCAGGGACTATGTAGCATGTCCTGTCCTTCTGTCCCACTACACTTGTCAGCTATGCCCAGATAAATGACAACTGGGAGTATCTGTGTAAATACAGAAGCTGAAGACATCTGATACAATGTTTATAAACATCGACCAGACGGGAAAGAGAGAGAGAGATACAAAGTAACATTGTTTACAGACATCGATCAGACAGGAAATAGAGAGATACAAAGTAACATTGTTTATAAACATCGATCAGAGAGGAGATAGAGAGATACAAAGTAACATTGTTTACAAACAAACATCGATCAGACGGGAGATAGAGAGATACAAAGTAACATTGTTTATAAACATCGATCAGACGGGAGATGGAGAGATACAAAGTAACATTGTTTATAAACATCGATCAGACGGGAGATGGAGAGATACAAAGTAACATTGTTTATAAACAAACATCGATCAGACGGGAGATGGAGAGATACAAAGTAACATTGTTTATAAACATCGATCAGACGGGGGATGGAGAGATACAAAGTAACATTGTTTATAAACATCGATCAGACGGGAGATGGAGAGATACAAAGTAACATTGTTTATAAACATCGATCAGACGGGAGATGGAGAGATACAAAGTAACATTGTTTATAAACATCGATCAGACGGGAGATAGAGAGATACAAAGTAACATTGTTTATAAACATCGATCAGACGGGAGATGGAGAGATACAAAGTAACATTGTTTATAAACATCGATCAGACGGGAGATGGAGAGATACAAAGTAACATTGTTTATAAACATCGATCAGACGGGAGATAGAGAGATACAAAGTAACATTGTTTATAAACATCGATCAGACGGGAGATGGAGATACAAAGTAACATTGTTTATAAACATCGATCAGACGGGGGATAGAGAGATACAAAGTAACATTGTTTATAAACATCGATCAGACGGGAGATGGAGATACAAAGTAACATTGTTTATAAACATCGATCAGACGGGAGATAGAGATACAAAGTAACATTGTTTATAAACATCGATCAGGCGGGAGATGGAGAGATACAAAGTAACATTGTTTATAAACATCGATCAGACGGGAGATAGAGATACAAAGTAACATTGTTTATAAACATCGATCAGACGGGAGATAGATACAAAGTAACATTGTTTATAAACATCGATCAGACGGGAGATAGAGATACAAAGTAACATTGTTACTTTAGAATATAGTGTGTTTTATTCATCTTCACATGAAAGGAATGAGCTTCTATCTGCAGATGATGTCAGTGAATCGTTTCCGCGCCGCATTATAGCGGAAATCCTGCTCCAGGGCGGCACGGGTGCGCACAATCACATACATACACGTGATTTTCCAGTTCCAGGTAGGGGGCGCATGCGTGCCGTAACCGCGCCGCCATTCATGGCCTCGGTTGTTGATCACTGCTGGCACCCTGTGATCGCGGAGTATATCTGACGCGGGAGAGACCCGTGTATAAACAGCACAGATCTCTCCCCTGTCAGCTCCTGCACACTGCTTTGTATAGCTCTGCATAGCAGCATGCTCACAGTGAAACACTCCCAGCACACAGGTAACCCTTTGATCGCCCCTCATGTTAACCCCTTCCTGTCCAGTGCCATTAGTACAGCGTCAGTGCCTTTTTATTAGCACTGATCACTGTATTGGTGTCACTGGGGAGGTCAGTGACACCAAGTCAGTTTCCCCCCCCCCCCCCCCCCAGTGTCAGAATGCCCCCGCCGCAGTCGCTGATCGCCGCCATTACTAGTGAAAAAAAAATCCCAGTCTATCCCGCCATTTGTAGACGCTATAACTCACGTGAACCAATTAATTTCCACGTATCGGGATTTTTTTCAGCGAAGACACGGAGCGGGAGACATTTTTTTTGCCAAAATTTATGAGGAAATTTGATTTTTTGTTTTTTTTTTACTGGAAAATAGCAAAAATATTGTTTGTTTTTTTTAAACTGTCGGTCTTTTTTTTGTTTATAGCGCAAAAAATAAAAACCGCAGAAGCTCTATTAGTGGGGGGAAAAAGGACGTAGATGTCATTTGGGTGCAGCGTTGCATGACCGCGCAATTGTCAGTTAAAGTAACGCTGCGCCGTATCGCAAAAAATGGCCTGGTCAGGAGGTGGGTGGGGGGGAATCCTCTGAAGGGGGGGGGGGGAATAATCTGGGGGGGGGGGGGGGGGGGGAATCCTCTGGAGGGGGGGGGAATAATCTGGAGGGGGAGGGGGGAAGAATCCTCTGGAGGGGGGGGGGGAATAATCTGGAGGGGGAGGGGTTAAATAAAATGTGTTCCTATGTAACCCTTTAGCTCGCCATCGACGGCGAGTTTCTTTTGTTCACCCGGCGGGGTAATCTGTGTGTTGTTGGAGAGATTTCCCCAATATGGCGGCGTTCCTGGCTGCGTCTGCCGCATGTCATCGTAGCTGTAAACATTGGCGCGGCGCGGCCAGCAGAACACGGCGCTGAATTCCACAGCTGACAGCTCAGAAGATTCCTGGGGGGAGGGGGGGGGGGAATCTACAGACTGGAATTCTGGAATTCCAGCGCATTGCGCCGCTTCCTGTGCCGACATATGGGATCCATTAGGAGCGACTTATCCCGAGACGAGAAAAACAAGAGGGAAGATATGACCGCCATGACACCGCGCCGACCTCCCTCCCCTCCCCCCCTGAACCCAGCGCAGCCTCATAGCCATGGCTGGGAATGGAAGGTACGTTAGACGCGGTCAGCTGCGGGGCAATCAGTGCGAATGGCCGCCGGTGTCTAAATGTTACGTCAACTCTGCAGCCGGTGAAGGATAATGTTTGTGCCTTGAATCGGATCACCCGCATTGGCCACTCGGACCGCGCAGAGTGACCGCCACACCCACCTCGCCCCTATGAGCAGTACACAGGCGTCCTAATTACGTATGACATCACCGCCATCCCCCGCTGCCAAGAACCCCACCCAGATCCTCCGCCATGACTGAACGCCGGCCAGAATGAAGTTAGAGAAAATCCGGAGCAATCCAAGCCGTCAGGGCGGAGCTCTCCCATATAATCCTCCCGGGACAGGCTCATGAAGAGTCCAGCCCCCGAGGGACCTCCACCAATCACCTTTCCAGCCTCCCCACCAGACTTGCACTGGTGTACCGGCTCCTCCCCTTCAGTCTCGAACAGGCGTACCGGCTCCTCCCCTCCAGTCTTGCACAGGCGTACCGGCTCCTCCCCTTCAGTCTTGCACAGGCGTACCGGCTCCTCCCCTTCAGTCTTGCACAGGCGTACCGGCTCCTCCCCTTCAGTCTTGCACAGGTGTACCGGCTCCTCCCCCTTCAGTCTTGCACAGGTGTACCGGCTCCTCCCCTTCCTTGCACACCGGCTCCTCCCCTTCAGTCTTGCACAGGTGTACCGGCTCCTCCCCTTCAGTCTTGCACAGGTGTACCGGCTCCTCCCCTTCAGTCTTGCACAGGTGTACCGGCTCCTCCCCCCTTCCTTCACCGGTCTCCCCTTCAGTCTTGCACAGGTGTACCGGCTCCTCCCCTGGACTGAAATGGCTTCCTCTGATGTCACTGCACACTGTGAGGTTCCCACAATGTGCATTAGAAGCTGCAGCAAGTCAGATGGAGCTCCAACTCCTTTCCTGGCTGGAGGACGCCCAGCATCATCTAGCTCTTTCCAACCTGACACCCACCCCTCATGGCATTTTGATATTTGCATAACCCCTCCCACTGCTTACATCAGGAATGAGGGCTTTTCAGAGGAGCACTGAGGCTGTGCTACTTTCAGAAAGTTATGTACAGCACCCTTCCAGCTCCTCCCACCAGGCCGTGATCTGCCTGCATCGCATAGCGAAGCATAGAGACCAAGTGATGACATTACTGGACCTAAAATAAGGCATATAATGAAAATAGAAAGGTTTTATTTAAAATATACTGATAGGGGGGGGGGAGGGGGAGGAGCCAGGGAAGGCAAGAAATAACCAGATTAATCTTCAGCTTTCACATGGCGGCTCCGGGTCTCTCTGGTCATCAGAAGATCGGTAAAAGAGATGACTGAAATGTACTTTCTGAAAATCGACTTTTGCAGTTCGGTGGATATACACTTTAAGGTCCATTTGCCCCAATCAATGTTCTAGGCGTAGTGGGAGGAGTCACCCAATGGCTTCTCATGTCTCGGGGACTCCAGTGGTCAGGTCTCTCTGGCCGGTTCCCGGCTCTGCTCCTGCACACTGGAGAGTTTTGGGTGTTCTCCTCCTCCTCCTTTGTGGGGTTCCTGCCCAGCTTTGTTCCCATTCACTGCTGTGTCCCCCCCCATGTGGTGTCCCCGTATTCTAAAGGAATCAGCAGCAGTGACCCCAGAGCAGGGGTGGACTGACCATTTGGAAACTCGGGCACTGCCCAAGGGCCCGGGGTCAGTAGGGGGCCCCATGAGATGCCACTGGTACCTTTTTTATAGGCTTTTTTGAGTTTGGGCAAGGACACAGGGGCCCCATGATCCCCTATTGCCCGGGGGCCCCATGAGTTGTCAGTCCGCCCCTGCCCCAGAGGGACCCCGAAACTGTAATATGGGCCACGCATCACATCCACGGGAAACGTCACATTAAATCCAATTTCTCATCTACTGGAAATTCGGCATCAACAGATGAATCGATTTTCCATTTCCAAACCGACTTCTCAGCCCCGTACAGGTCAGCCGAGAGCGCAGATCCAGCCGACTTACCCAAAGCTTCCACCAAGACGATCTCATCCTTGCAGAGTTTATGGCAGGTGTGGTTGTCGGCAAGGCGCCCCGTCTGGTACAAGCGGCACTCGATACAGTCCCTGCGGAACAGAAGACACTGTGAGGGACCAGACGTCAGAACATCCAAGGTTCAGTCCATCAGAAACACGCCCTTCCCCCCCCCCATTGGGAGGATCTCCTCTCCAGTTCCTGCAAACCAGCCAGTCATCACAACAGCGCCCCCCCCCCCCCCAGGGGGTATTTATTTCCTATTCTAGGAGGAATGTGAACACCCAACGTTGGTTGAGGAGGCCTTAGCACTGGAGTCAGCAGATCATTTAGCCCCATTGGACCTCACCAGTTCAGGTGTCCCCAGTGAGGGGTCCCGGTAATCCTCCATCATACAAGAACATTGTAGACAATTGGGCTCTTCCAGCCTTGTGGGAACAGTTTGGTGAAGACCCTTTTCTGTTCCCCCATGACTGTCCCCAGTGCCAGCTCCATATAGACATGGAGGACCAGTCTGGTGTGGAGGAACAACAGTGTCCTGTACACAGCCCTGACCTCAACCCTACCGGACATCTTGGGGATGGATTGAAACTCCAATGGTGAGCCAGGTCTTTTGTGGTGACCAATGTGGGGCCCAACATGTGAGCAAGGTCTTTTTTTTTGGTGCCCAAAGTGTGAGCCAGGTCTTACTATTAGTTCCCAATGTGGGGCCCAACATGTGAGCCAGGTCTTTTTGGTGCCCAACATATGAGCAAGGTCTTTTTTTTGGTGCCCAACAGGTCAGTCAGATCTTTTTTTGGCATCTAACGTGTGGCCCAACATGTGAGCCAATTCTTTATTTTTTGTGCCCAACGTGGGTCCAACATGTGAGCCAGGTCCTTTTCTTGGCGCCCAACATTTGAGCCAGGTCTTTTTTGGCGCCCAACATGTGAGCCATGTCTATTTTTGGCGCCCAACATGTGAGCCAGGTCTTTTTTTTTGGCACCCAACGTGTAAGGCAAGTCTTTTTGTTGCTCAACATGCCCCGTATGTGCTGTATACCCCCTAGGTACTATAGGACCCCCTATGTATTATATGATTCCATACGTACTCTATAACCCCCAATGTACTATAGGACCCCCTATGTATTATATGATTCCATACGTACTCTATAACCCCCAATGTACTATAGGACCCCCTATGTATTATATGATTCCATACGTACTCTATAACCCCCAATGTACTATAGGACCCCCTATGTATTATATGATTCCATATGTACTCTATAACCCCCAATGTACTATAGGACCCCCTATTATATGATTCCATACGTACTCTATACCCCCAATGTACTGTAGGACCCCCTATGTATTATATGATTCCATACGTACTCTATAACCCCCAATATACTGTAGGACCCCCTATGTATTATATGATTCCATACGTACTCTATAACCCCCAATGTACTGTAGGACCCCATATGTATTATATGATTCCATACGTACTCTATAACCCCCAATGTACTGTAGGACCCCCTATGTATTATATGATTCCATACGTACTCTATAACCCCCAATATACTGTAGGACCCCCTATGTATTATATGATTCCATACGTACTCTATAACCCCCAATGTACTGTAGGACCCCATATGTATTATATGATTCCATACGTACTCTATAACCCCCAATGTACTGTAGGACCCCCTATGTATTATATGATTCCATCCGTACTCTATAACCCCCAATGTACTATAGGACCCCCTATGTATTATATGATTCCATCCGTACTCTATAACCCCCAATGTACTGAAGGACCCCATATGTATTATATGACCCCTTAGGTACTGTAGGTCCCCTATGTATTATATTATTCCATATGTACTGTAGGACCCCCTATGTACATGTGAACCAAATCTTTTTTTTTTTTATGGTGCCCAACGTGGGCCCAAAATGTGAGCTAGGTCCTTTTCTTAGCGCCCAACATGTGAGCCAGGTCTTTTTTTGGGTGCCAAACATGTGAGCCATTACTTATTATTGGTGCCCAACGTGGGCCCAACATGTGAGCTAGGTCCTTTTCTTGGCATCCAACATGTGAGCCAGGTCTTTTTTTTTTTGGACGCCCAACATGTGAGCCAGGTCTTTTTTTGGCATCCAACATGTGAGCCATGTCTATTTTTGGCATCCAACATGTGAGCCAGGTCTATTTTTGGCATCCAACATGTGAGCCATTTTTTGGATGCCCAAAATGTGAGCTATGACTTATTATTGGTGCCCAACGTGGGACTAACGTGAACCAAATCTTTTTTTTTTTTTTTGGGTGCCCAACGTGGGGCCCAACATCTGAGCCGGGTCTTCTCATCCAACATCAGTAGCTGACCTCACAAATGGACACCAAATGCCCACGGAGACCCTCCAAAGTCTTGCCTTCCCAGAAGAGTGGAGGATGGTAGGTCCACAGAGGGGACAACTCGATGTCATGTTCCTGGTTTTGGACTGGGATGTCCAGGAAGCTCATGTAGGTTTGGTGGTCAGGTGGCCACAAAGTTTTGCCCATAAAGTGTCCATAAAGGTGCGGCCCCACCAGGCAGCACAGCCGGCACTCTCTATCGCGGTTCAGAAACACAGTTTTTTCCCTCCCCCCTCCCCCACCTTTGATGCTGGACGGCCACAGATTTGTAACATGAAGCCCGGCGGTAGCGCCATCACCAGGGCGGAGAGCTTACCTTTTCGTCCCGCAGGCGTCGGGGCAGGTGGGGCATTTCTCGCAGGTCTCCCCGAACGCCCCCGGCTCCACGCACTGGCAGCGGCCGCACACGCAGTTCCCTTTCCCGCTGCACATCTGCCCGTCGCTGGACATGCAGCTGCTGGTCTCAGTAGTGCAGTTACAGTTGTCACCGATGTAGCCGGTGTGACACTTACATTCTCCGCAGTCGCATTCACCGTGACCTGCAACACAAGAGATTTCCCGTCACTCCACAATGGGTGTCACTGACACCTTACAATACACAACAGCGGCATTGTCCAGGAAAGCTCCGCCCTTCAGCTGCAGTCAGTGACTGTGCCTAGGCTGAGATGATGTCATCAGTCTGCTGCAGGCAGGAGGAAGCATTTCCTCAGTCTCCCCTCCCACAGTGATCAGACTGTACATTGTAACTTTGTAGAAGGAGGAGGAGTCATTTCCTCAGTCCTCCCCCAGTGATCAGACTATACATTGTAACTTTGTAGAAGGAGGAGGCATTTCCTCCTCCCTCCCCCAGTGATCAGACTGTACATTGTAACTTTGTAGAAGGAGGAGGGGGCATTTCCTCAGTCTCCCCTCCCCCAGTGATCACATTGCACTGTGCCGTCTGTCTAACACAGTAAACATGCTGACATGAGGGAAGCATGCAGACTTCATTAATCGTCCTCCTTCATTGGCTTTCCTGCTGCTGGCGTTGTGTTCCCTATTGATAATTTTGACATATATATACTTCTGTCTTCATGGATCATAGATGTGACTGACAACCTGTGCGCGGTTCAGGGATCGGTGCACAGTGCAGGGATTGGTGCAGTGATCTGTGTGCGCGGTGCGGGGATCAGTGAGGGGATCTGTGCGCGGATCGGTGAGGGGATCTGTGCGCGGTGCGGGGATCAGTGAGGGGATCTGTGTGCGCGGTGCGGGGATCAGTGCGGTGATCTGTACGCGGATTGGTGCGGGGATCTGTGCGGGGATTGGTGCACTTGGATTTCTCTGGGCGGAGTTGAGAACTCCCCATCAGAG